GCAAGAGCCGTGTGATTTAATAGTTACAAACTTTACATGTATATCTATATTTGTATCTTACACTGTGACATTTTGTTTTATGATATAAGAATGTTGTTAAAAGATTCCTTTTAAACGAATCATTTTTTATGAAAACGAGTAAATATTACTTATTTATGTATACTTTGTACATATTATGTTTAGACTAGTTTAAATAATTTTATTAAATTATAAACATTTAAATAGAGAGATATCATTATGAAAAAAATATTCAAAATAAAATTACACTATTTCAAAAAGGATCATTATTGAAGACTTGTAAATATTTCTTCTCGATGTACTTGAAATACTAAAAAAATGAAGTTCAACCTCGATAATCTCTTCCTCGATTATTTATTTCGAAGACTATTAAATTATTAAATATTTTCAATGTTATCCAACTATTATTGAGTTTTTATCGATGTTTATTTACGTTAAGATGCACAATCCATAATGCTTAATTATTAAAGGTAATGGATTCTCTATTTCTTTTCAATTATTTTAAAAAAGAAAAAAAATTAAAATGATAAAATCATTGCCAGAGAATATTCACCACAAATGACACAGAGTATCGAAACAACGGTCAATGTGCCAGAAGAAATTTGTCAGAGGAAGAATGCAGGAATGTTAGATGGAAGTATCCTATGGATTAAGGGGTGGAAAGCAACTGTACTCGACTCGTAAAACTTGGACACTCTTCCCCTACCAAGCAATTTCAAATGCAACCCCTCAAACTCCCCGCATAAAGTCCATATGGACCCTTCGACACTCCTTGATTCCATCAACATTCCTCTCTTAACGCGAGAAATGCTTTGTTATATTATAGAAAAAAAAAAAAAAAAATAAGAAGAGTATAATATCGTGTTCCAGAGATTTCCAATGTATACAGGACAAAGCTATGCATATGTATATAAAACATCATATAAAACATCATATATAGGATTAATATAGATATTCGTAAAATATCTTTAGATCTTTCGATTCTAAAGAACAAACACAAAAGTTGGTATACATGAGATTTATTTATTAAGAAATTTAAATTTTTACCAACGGTGTAAGTAAGACAATGATCTCATTCTATTTCTCTTGCTTTGTCTAACATAAACTTCAATTGTCTATAATTTAATTACTTTTGTTAAATATGGAAAAATAATATCAACTATTAATAACTATAATAACAGATAATTTAAAAATTTTATGAAAAAATTCAAATTTTCATAAGAAAAATATTTAAATTAAATCAAAGAAAAATAAATCAAATATATGAATATATATTTAATGATATAATTCATATAATTATATGAATGATATTGAAAAGAAAATAATTCTTTTTTACATGAAGGATATATATATATATATATACAATATTTATATAAACAATTTTCGTATTTATAATTATAAAAATAAAGAAAATTCAAATAAAGAAAACGAGTAATCTGATCCATTTCAAATATTTTCTGATTTACTCGTATAAATGATAATACACTATCAAATAAATAAAATATATATGTACAGACAAATTATAGAATAATAAATTAAAGTATTTTCAAATACAAAATTTAGACATTATCAAATTTTTAAATTTCTTCTTTTTCTTTTAAATATAAAATTATATATTATTATTTATCTTTTATCAAATTATATATCTTGGATTTGTATCAAAATTTTGATATTTGCATGCATTGATCTCATTACTAACATATTGGCACAAATATAACTTAAAAAATTATACAACTAATAAATTATAAAATTAATTATGAAAGAAAAAATGAAATATTATGAATAATTATTTTTATATCAATATAACAATTATATAAATATGAATTGAATTCTTATTTTGATCCAATTTTTCTTCTAATCTAATTCTAGATTAATAAAATACAGCTTCAAATAAAAATAAAAAAGTTTACGTGCAAGAAAAAGTTTCATAGGTTTGTATATTTCATTCGTTTGATCGAGAATTGCATGAATTTTTTAAGCTTACCAGTGTCTTTCGTCGCTGTGTTCTTCAGAATAAATAGAAATGTACGGAATTCTTTTTTAACGTTTAGTAACATCACATGACAAAATGTATATAAAGCAATTTCGCTGCGAGAAGAAAAAAACATTGAGAAGTATCTTGAAAAATGCACAAAGAATATCAAGTCTTTCATATTTAAAAAATATTTTTCTTATGTGAAAATTCTCTTTTTTTTAAACTACAAATTTATTTCTATTTTAATCTTAAAATGCTAAATCTTTAATTGAAACAAATTTGTATTAATAATTTATAAAATTATATTAATAATATAATCAAAAAAATTATATATTATATATTATTTAATTATTTGAAATTTAAAAAATTAATATTAAAAGTTGCGAAATTTATAAATTTTCAAATTTAACAGAACAATTTGAACATAAAAAAGTTTATAAAGATCATTGAATATCAATTTACAATTAAATTAAGTTACAATTAAGTATTTATAACTTTATTAAATAATAAATAAGAAAAAAAAATCTCATATTTGGATCTTAGCAAGATATTAATAAATCACACAACATGTAGTATTAAATATTTAACTCGGCTAAAATTAACTTTTTTTGATATATGTATATATATAAGTATATATAAGTATTTCTAATATATTTCTAATATATTTTTAATGTATTTCTAACATCATAGAATAATAAATAATTTTTTTGAGACATTATTTAGCACAAATCAAATACATATTTTGCTTTGGTAAATTAATAATTTTCAAAAGATATTTTTGAAAGAAAAATTAATATTTCCTTTCATACTTCCATTTGATTATTTTTCATCATTGCTCAAAAATAAAATCTTAGATTTATTATCTAATAAATTCACGATAACGCAATGTTTCTCAATAAAACGAAATGTTTATAGTTTAATCAATAATAATTTTAATTTCTTAATACTTGTTTTTTCAAAAGAATATGAAATTTCAATATGAAATTTATTATAAATTTATTATAAATTTATGCAAAAAATTTTCATTAATACAGAGATTATAAGAATAGTTAGAGAGATATAAACCTTATAAAAAATTCTAATTTAAAAATAGATTATATATCTAGATATAAAACATTTTCTTTTAAAAATGAGTAAAATATTTTTTTACGACAAAGAAACGACAAATTTTTCTAATCTCAAATTTTGAAAGATCATAAGTATGTATTTACCAGAAATATGCTCATATGATATGTTCCGATTCCCCTTAAAAGTGTTCGTGCTTTTCTTCCGGTCGTTCCTATAGAAAACGAGGTCAGACACTTTTCGTATATTCGTAAGAACTTCACAAGAAACACAACATCAGAATGACCGTGCACTCTAGATAAAAGCAACCGTTCTGTTTTGCTGGGCAAAGATGGCGTTAATGCGATTCGTTTCGAACGTGAAGCTCTTCGCACCTAGTTAACTTGTTTACACATACACGCATGCTTGAATAAGAAAGTACATTCGCATATTTTAACTTTTTTAATTGATTTAGATATTTTAACAGCAGAGTATTAATATATTCATGAGATATTTTCGAAGTATCGATTAAAGATTAAACAAATGTAAAAATTATTACACAAAAGTATCGATTAAAATTTATTAAATTATAAGCAACTGAAGTTTACGTCAAACGAAACGAGACAGAGTAAGATCGATCTATTTTCGTTACATCGCATTCTGTTCGCGTCTCACTTCATCTAACTTAAATTGCTTATAACTTAATAAATAAATTCGCCTCAAACGAATTTTTGAATACCAACTTTTATTTTTGTTTCAGTCTTTAAAATTAATTTTGACAATTATAATTGAAAAATTGTTATATTTAAAAACTTATGTAACTTTTTATACAATCATAATTTTTAAATATATTTTTAAAATAAAATTAATTAAAAAAATAAAAAACATATTAAAAATCTATTATCTATTATCAATTCTGATTTATTTTCCATATTTTAAATATTTTCATTTATTAAAATATATTATTTAGATATTATGTAATATAAAATATTTATGTAATATTTATATTAATTTTCCATAAAAATATTTTATTTTAAAATATTTTAAAAAAATTCATATTATTAAAAAATCCATTATGATTTCTAATTTCTTTCTGCTTTCTAATGTATCACAGAAAACTTTTGCACTTCACTTGCCAATAACAATGAAATATTTTCAAGTGGCTACATTATCTTGGCCGATATCCAACGAAATTGTGCTAGATTGACCATCGTTAGAATTGAATTAAGGATAGCATAAATTCTCTCATTCGTAGCCAATGGAATTCAAACAGTTTAATAAAAGCGAATTGCAGTATCCTATTCGTGGTAAATTAATTACAAAGTAGCATTGTTGACAATTTTATTTATGCCATTACACGAACTCAAATTATCATTATCATAAATCGAATTATGTCTGCGAAAATTATGCGAATTATCGATATATTTATTATAAATCAAGTCTCTATAGAATTTTTAAAAAACTGATACATTCTTGTTTATATATAAATCGATGATTACGATTGAAAATGCCATATTAATTTTTATCTATTAAGACACTTCTTATAAAACTGAATAATTTCCTTAAAGTATTTTTCATTATTTTGCATAATTAAAAAGTTATGATACGATTTGTTCTATCATTTGTTCCTATAACCAGTTCCTATAACCTCCAAAATCCAGTATTAGCAATAAAACAAGAACATAATTCGTTTAATACCTTGGACTAGCTATATTCGATGTATACAATATATACTTTTATAGGACTTATCAAACAAAAAATCTTTTTTCTATTAAATTAAAAAAAAAATTCAATATTTGGAAACTAAATTCAAAATTTTTCATTGCTGTTTTTTGTTTGAATATTTGATCTTTACATATTTAATAATCAAACATAATGTGTAATAATGTGTAATAGTGGCTATATAATGATATGGCTAAATGAAATGGATATCATGAATAGAATAAATGGATTATTAACTTACACATATGTTCACCAAGCGGCCAGATTTCTGGTCCAGAATTCACCTCAACGAGAATGGTTGGTGTACAGATTAAGAGAACACAGAGATCCGCTACACTCAAATTCACCAGAAAAATATTCGTGCTGTTTCGCATATCTTTGCCTCGAAACACGACGATTGGTACCTGAGAAAAAAGTTGTCAATGTTGGTATTTCTGATGTTCGAACATGAAATGCACGGTATGAAGTATGCAAGATATATTGAAAGATGCTAAAAAATTGGTTAATGTAGAAAAATATTTTTGAAATAAATATGATTTTATGAAAGATTATCATTGTCTTCTTATATATAACAATACGAAAAACTTGAAAAATAATATTAATTAAAAAATATAATTACTGCTAAAATTAATATTCATTATCTAATGCATACATTAATATTGAAATATTTGAGAAATATTAGAAAAAAAAAGAAATTAATAAGTAATATTATATAATAAATAAAAAATTGTCTTTGATATACATTATATCGGAAACAAAAATTTTATAATACTTGAAAATAATTTTGAAAAATAAATTTCATGCATAGCATTTTATTACTATATTAAATTCTATATTAAATTTTATAAGCATTATTGGAAAATAACTAATAAAAAATAGATGAAATCGATCGATAGAAAACTTACCATAAGATTCCCAATTATGCCAAGAACCATCACTATAATGCAGGTGATCATGGATGTATTGCGAATGTAAGCCGGTAACATGTAAAGATCCGTCGTATTTCTAGACTCGATCACTGAAACGTTATTTATTTTTGACTAGATTAAGTAGATAGAAAACTACTTGAAAACTCTTACATATATTGATATTTTCTAAATATATTCATATTTTTTAGATAATTTAATAAATATTCTTATTTTATTTATAGATAAAAAACCTACAGTTTTCACGAAATAATATTATTGTATTAAATGATTGTTATTATTCATCTATCTTGACATATATAATTTTCAATAACGAAAATACGTTCATCATTGAACAGCATAGCTTCTTTTATACTTTTTTATTTTAACATATAATTTGGTCAATAATCCAATGCAAAAAATAAAATTAAATATGACGCATGAGCATACCCGATAATGCATCAAGACCGTTGTTCCCGGTAACAGTTGTATAATATGAAGAATTCAATTCGAGTGGGATACTAGACACTGTAGACAACATTTTTACTCTGTGCTTCGTCCACCAAGATTTTCAATCGTATATATTTTTGCTTCGTGTCACATATATGATAATATTTCTGTATCAATTGTCCTATGATTCCACTTTTTTCACGATTTATATACAAACACTTGTCGCACTACAGTTTATTCAAAATTAACACTACGTCAAACTTATATATTTACAGATCATGGTTAACCTCACCGTAAAAGTTTATTGGATGTTTTGTGTACTCAGATGGTCAGTAACTCTTTTACGTCGGTAGCTTTACATTTGGGCCGATACAGATTCGCGAATTCGAAACATCGTTGCAAACGGCACTGAATTCCCAAACACACGATGACAACCGGACAAAATTCATGAAGAATCGTGAAAGGAATGCTAGCCCTGTTGGACGAGCATCATATATAGTCTCCTTTAACCTCCAAACAACCGTGGTTTTCGTTAACGCGATGGTATTAAGTAACATTATAAACTGCTTTCTCGTGACTACGAAGTCGTTTCGCTATTTTAAGCCAATGACACTTTCGAGACCAGCAAGTTCTATCTGAACCGGTAATCAATCGTTCCACCCACAATGTGCAGGGGTTTCAGTCTTAACCACATACTCGTCATTTTTTAAGATGATCCATTTCAGTTTAGTCCTTTAGATTTCGCGTTTACGAACTAAATGATTCTTATAATTATTTAGCCTTTTATAACAAACATATAAATTTTAATATTATACCAAATTGTCTTTTTAAATTTTATATCTATAAGATGAAACTACAGAAAAATATAATCTAATATTAATATAACCTAATTTAGCATAATATAGCCTAGCTCCTCTCCGATATTTAATAATTATTAAATACGTTATACAGCACAAAATTCTGAACTTTTTACTTTATTGTAATATATATTGTACATTATTAACGAAAGAATTAATTTTCAAGATATTTGTGAGATTTTATTACATAGAATTTACATAGTATTATACTACATAATATATATAGTATACTGTAATATATATATATATATACTATATAGTGAATTAACAACGATTATCAATTATCAATTGTTCATAAAAATATAATGGTGTCTGGCATTAAAAATATATAATAAATGAGCTAATATCATTATATTTAATATTGATAGAGATTTAAAAAATCTGTGAAATATGAAAAAGTTACTAATTAACGCAATAATTTCTGTGAAATGTTCAAACTTAATATAAGTTAGGAATGAGATATTTCAAGCTTGTTATAATCCACGAAAAAATAGTTTTTTGACTGGTTCACCCGTTATATATATATTATTTATTATTAGAATATGTTTACATAAAAGATAAATGATCGCATATGTATGGACAAAATTGTATGTGAAAATAGTAATCTTTTTATACATCTTTTATATCTTTTATATCTCAAAAATTAAGACGAAGCAGCAGTTACATATATAAATGTTATTCAAAATGTTAATTTTCAAAATATATTTTAAAATCATCAAAATCTATATTAAAAAATAATAAAAAATATAGAATTTTTTCATTTGAGATTTTGTTTTCGAATAAATCAAGTTTGAAAATTTTTCAAATATATACAAAGTTAATTCCTGATAAAAATGAACAATCGATAAATGATTATTTTCTATTCTTCAGTTCAGATCTTTGTGATTGTTCTATTTATCTCCTATAAACATGATTTATATGGATTGATCTCAAGTATCTACGTTAGTATAGTTAAAATCAATTAACCTCTCTTACTACTAGAATCTATTCACAATCCAGATGTTCTAATCTTGTCAATAAAGCACATATTGTATTTATGAAATGACCTGTCTCAACAACTTTATCAATTTTCATTTCTAGAAACGACTTTCATTTAAGTTCTAATTATAGTTTTATATTTCGCAATTTTTCAATTTTATTTTTTTCTTAATATTAATTTAATTTTGATTTCAAAGTAATACTAACTGTCCTATTTGAATATAGAATGAAATAAAAGAAAAAATATATATATATAATAATAATAATATATATATATATATATATATATAATATATAAAAATAATATCTGACATTATTAATATTTTGAGTTTTCTATTCTAATATATCATGATTAAACTATCATGAAAATAATAATTATTCGTGTTTTGATTTTGAAAATGAAATTTAAAATAAAATTCTACATTGTTTAAAAAATTTTCATTCATATTGTAAATAAATCATCTGTTTTCGGCTGAATTAGAGATTATTCAGATTTTACTTACATTCAAACAACATTGAAATTTCAATTTTTTAAACAATGAAATAATAACTTCAGTTTAAAGTTATAGTTCAGTTTAAAATGGAATTTATCGGGATTTTATTTTTGAATAAAGAACGAAATGTTCTATACATATAACCTATAAGATAATATGACTATTAATTTAAATTGTATAATTAATTTGTTTTTGTAAATTTTTCGGTTATTTTGATTATAATAATTTAATTTAACAATAAACGGAATCGATCGATTTCAAAATTTATTTCATTATTTATGATAATTTTTATCTATTTAATATCACTAATGACTGCGCTTTTCGATTTTGCAAACGACACGAATGAATTCACTTCAGGACTTTTTTTACCTTTAATTTTTTTATATAATTATACTTCTCATAACCTGCTCGCTGACTGGAAAGTATGTAACGACGAAGTTTTGCTTAAAAAAAAGAAATCATGACAAACTTTCGATATTTTCACTTTACGATCAAAAAAGGAAAAGTAACGAATTAACTTTTAACCTACAACATTTTAAATAACTTTTTATTTGAATTTCAATATTAAAGAGTTCCTTAAGATTCCTTAAAGAGTTAAATGATATAGTCGGTTTGAATAACAAACGGTTATGTTACCTATCGATATAGTATGTAAGATTATCTTTCATTGCTTTCTATTCTCTAAAACTAAATCGTAATCGAAATAACTTTAAAAGAATCGATCGATATGTTAATTATTCATTTTATCAAATTAAATAAATTTTTTCATTGGCTTTAGATGTACAATTCTCTTACCCATAACCACAATTTCCGCAATAATATATATTGAGAAGAAAAAACACAACTGACTATAATATCGAATACACGCTTCGATTATTTTAAATTTTCGTAAAACTTTGCAAATTTTGTTAGAAATATTTTCACTCTTTACCAGTATGTTATTGAACCTCATTTAATCTTATACATATATCTCACATGAATAATTCGATCTGTGTGTATTCACAGATTTAAGCGACCTCTTTGACACGATACTTCGTAAATGTTCGTCAATTACGATCACGTTGCGTTTCGAAACATGTGAAACCGTTATTACCGTTATTGCGTCTTAAACTATCGCGAAATTGAAAATTCTGACGGATACGAATAACGTGATGACCAACAATTCGAAGTGAACACATTTCCAAAATCACGACAACCGCAGCGAGCAAATAGTACCGGCAAACTGAATGAACATAGCTTGGCCCGCCACGATTCTCGCACTGTTTTCATTGCGCATGCTCAAGTTTCTTTTTCCCTCGATTCCTTTGCACACGCGTTTCGATAACGTAGTTAATTTTATTTTCATTGGTTATTACACACGAAACTATATAATCTTGTAAAAGATTAAATAAATAATAAAAAGATATTACATAATTATTTTCATATTCTTTTATATTTTATAATATAGAAATTTTTTATTTCTTGTTTTTTGATAAAAAACAATGAAAATGAACAAGATCGATAAATCGATATTTCATATTAACTTTTCAATTTCGAACTAACTCTACTATTATTATAACATTCTATACTAATAATATAAATAAAAATTTTTATATTGTAACAAAAATAAATATGCATATATATATCTTTTTTAAAAATTCATTGAATTGCAAATATTTATTTTATTTTATTGTTTTTTTTTAAATATCAAACTTTTTAAAGGATTAATAAATCGATTGTCAATACATGTATTCTTATAATTATCTTATAATTTTAAATGCATTAACGAATTTAAATGAAATTAATTAAGAAAAAAAAAAAGAAAGAAAAAAGTAGTGAAAAGACAAAAAAAAACGTTTCTATTGAAACAATAGATATGCGTAATGCATTGCATAGTACGATGCTCAAATTCAAACGTGCTCGAATTTAATCCTGAAGCTTTTCAAATCGAATTTTCAAAGCTTAATAGTAAAATGCATTGATACGGTAAGCAAAGTTGATTTGATGAGAGTCATTGGGATAGTTTCAAATATTTCTATAGAAAAAGAATCTATATTTCAATTTAATATTAAGATAGGAAATCGAAAAAAGGATTTACTGTTTATATGTTGCATATATCTAAAAATATTTCATCGATTATGTGCAAAATAATGGAAAGGATTAAACATGGAGAGTTTCAACTATGATCTAACAGATTGTATAATTTAATCTCGAAAAAAAAAAATAAAGTAAGAAAAAAAGAATTAAATTTCATTTCTTTTTTGTTCAATGGAACAGCAATCATTTCTTATTAGAATGGAGAGCATAAATTTTTTTTCTGTGAATTATAATTTTATTTTGCTTTTTCTTTTCTATAAATATTTTATAAATATTTTAAAAAAATAATTTCAAAATATATTTTTATAATTTGTCTAACGACATTTTTTATTATACATAAAGTCAATTGAGTTACAAGAAACAAAATTTTCATGATGAAAGTCTTTTCTTCATAATGAAAGAATTTTTTTTGATTTATTATTAAAATTTATTATTTCTATATTTATAACGTCTTTCTAAAATCTTCTTAATCATAGGTTTTAAATTAAAATTGCAATTAATGTTTGTTTCTATCTTGGAAATTCAAAAATAAGATTATGAGATGATAGAAGATATTGATTATAAAGTGAATTGATATTAGTTTTATTATATTAGTTATATTATATTAATTTTATGACACACATCTTTGGTATTAATTATTGATTGCATTATTAATTCAACGAGAATTTTTTAATTTTAATAATTACCAGAGAAACTTTTTATTATTCTTCTAATAAGGAATTTTTTAAATAATTTTTATTAAATCTTATAAGTGTCATAACTTTTTTAACAGATCAATGTCTGATTAATGACTTATATAATAATATAGTGATATAACGTAGAATATATATCATACAATTTATAAAACTTCTCTATACATACTCTAAATAATCTCCAATTTAAAATAAATAATAAGTTTATAAGTCCAAAATATTATCTGTTTATTACAAAATTAAAAATTTCAAACATAATCCATTGTATTTTATTTTGTTATTTATTTTTCCAAAAATGAATTTTGTATAATAGTTTCGTTTTGCAATATATATCGATTTAAGAAATTACGATATTATCATGCATGTATTCATAATTTTGCGATTTCTCTCTCTGTCTTTTCCGATCTTCCAACATTCGCAATCGATTGAAACGCAAGGAAAGAGCATTCGTGGGACCTTATTTCTTCGAGACGCATTTCGAAACGATCCTCTGTGTTACAAGGTGGCAACAAAAGAAGGTACATGTTAAATGGAATTCCGTATTAGGAATCCAAGCACATTCCATTTACCTCGTACTATCCGCTTTATTAGCCAATCGAAATGTTTTGTCAGTTCTGCTATTTTCAAAGAGACATTTAACGCAATATTTAATGAATGACGTTTGATATCCGGAATATAATCGATGCGTTCTGGAAAGAAATAGAAAGAAGTGAAAACCAAAATTGAAAAATTTTGTTATTTTTAAAAAAAATATCTTACATGAGAATATTGTGATATTTTACTTGAATGTTATTTATATTATTTATACATGTTTTAAATATCGAATAATTTTATTATCAATATATATCGATTATCAGTATACAATTTTTTAGATTTCGTTGATCTCTTTCTATTGATCATTGATTTCATTGATGACATCAAGTATTTTCAAGTTTTATTTTTAGATGAAAAACAATGCACTGAAAAATGATACCAACGATATTTTCAATAATGTACGAATCGAAAATTTATATTATTCTCTCGAAAGATTAACACGAATCCGATTAAAATCATAATGGATCCCATTCATTATCCATTTGATATAATTTGATTTTATCAAAGAATAAGAAGAGAATGAGAAAGGAGGATGAATATGTGCTCCCTATCAATTTAAAGTCTATTAAGATCTTCGTGATTTATGACTCTAGTTATAATCATGTTGGAATTATCTTCAATAAATTGATTATTATTACCTGATTATTACTTAATATTTTTGTATCCGGTAATTTATTCATTTTTTAAATATATTTTAGACTTAATGTTTCTCTTTAAATCGTTGACTTTTTGATATTTCTAATTTATCTGATGTAATGGAATCGAAATTTTCTTTTAATACTTTCATTTCTATGATAATACATTAAAATTTTCAACAGAATAGTGTTGATGCGATCAAAAGCTGAAAATAAAATGATTTTTAATGATTGAAATGATATTTCAACAAAAAGTATAAATGGATATGAAACAAAAAAATTCCAGTGAAGTACATATACACACTAAAATATCTTATATTAAATATAAATCTTTTATTGAAAAATTCAAAAAATTAAATTAAAATATCAATTTACACTATATTAATTAAAATTATAAGTATAAAATTATAAGAAAAAATTATAATTAAACAATTGAAGTTCCCAATAAAAAAGTTTAATTACAAAGATCATTAAGAAATAAAAAAATTACTCAAGGAATTAAAATTCTCTCAGTTAAAAGCAAAATTGCGCATGCGCGTGGAAAGTTTCTTGGCGCGAAGGAAAAGAGATATCGCAATGTAAACATTATTCAATTACGTTTACCGGATGTTGCGCGTTTGCGATGCAATGAAGGATACCATGCTTCCTCAATTATACACACCATAGTAAATTGTATTCAAGTTGATTTGTGTCATGTAGTAGATTTCTTCGAAAATCCAACGCATTACATCAACAGGATGCCTTGTTGTATTAATTAATCTCTCACGTACATTTGCACGAATTTCTCATCAATGTCTGTATTCATCCCATTCACAGTAATCCTGATAAATACCAGGATTAAATTCATATCAACATGTGTTATAATATCGATATATAACTAAATAACTTCGTAAATGAATCGCGTTAAGTATGAAAACTTGATTAATTAATATCGTTAGAAGATCGATTTCCTTGAAAATTGTTACTATTAGAGAAATTTTTGTGTTATGATGTTATAAAATCAATTTTGTAATGCATTTATATCTTAACTTTTAGTTTCCTTTTTTTTTTAAATAATTATTTTTATTACTTATATATTATTTATATATTATATATTTTTTAAATTATTTTATTATTATTTTGTATTTCCTATAAATTATCATTTTTTCTTTTTTTTTCCATTTTTTTAGTAGATTATTTTTGAAATTAATTATAGTTTCAAAACTTGAATCAAGAAATTTTATTTAGAAATTTATTTTATCAGAATGAATTAATATCTACCATCTTGAAAAATCATGATATTTATAAGCAGCATATAATTTATTACTGCTTTTTGTTTAGTTTTGAATTCTAATTTATAATTTTTAAATCAAAATAAATAATATTAAAATACATTTCATGTTTTAATATTTGATAGTTACAAAATTTCATATTAGAGTTTATTCAATTTATTCAAGCATTGATTTACAGCAATTGATTTTGAAAAATCAATAATTGTTTTATCATCGAAGTTGTATATTTTCAAAGAAACCCGAACAATATTTTAATCAAAGCATTTTACGTTTTATATATTTCCAACGTTTCCTCGAAATTTATCTTTGAATATTGTTGGCAAAGATATTGAAGCCAATCATATATTTTCTCATATTATCAAACACAGCTATACATGTTACACAAATAGATATATAGTTATATAATACATAATATTTTATCATGATATTTTACTATAATAAATATTATTTTAATTTAATTTCACAATTATGAATTTATTTCATTTAATGTTTTTCCACTTTTTTTTTAGTTAATTAAATTAAATTGAAATATTTTATAATTATAATCAAAAAACTTGTTTATTATTTATATTATATTGTTTTAAAAATTTTATATTAATTACTTTATTATAAAAATTTTAGAAATTGGATATTTATATTAATTATAATATTATTTTATTTCTTTATTTAATTTGCTCTGAATGGATTATAAATTGTTCTAATTGCGCAAACTAGTATATATAGATCATATAACAATGGTTAGAGAGAATTCCAATCCCAAGAGAAATTTGTAGGCGAGCAAGATTCGAAAGGATATTAACCACAAGACACTTCTCGACGAAATAAATCACAAAATTTCTGCGTCCCTTGTCAATCATCGAATGAGAAACCAATAACCATCGATGAATCAATTTATCAATCTTGAGGGATTGCGGTGAAAATTGGAAACAAATATTAAATAATAATATATTGGATTCAATATTGAAGCAAATGAAATTATTCCATGAAATATCGATTTTTATTTCTATTAATGATAATATTTTTAAATTAAACAATTAAGAATGTTTCTTTTAATGAAGCTTAATATTAAGCTTTAATATTGTTAATATTATCTACTAAATTTTTAATGAATTTATGTAATTTTAAAATCATTATTTAAAATAGTAAAAAATATATATCGTATTCTTTTTTACTTAAAAATAATTTAAAAAATAAAATTAAAAAAATATATAATATTATTAAAAAAAATAAGAAAAATTACTATTGAATTAATTTGTTTTCATAATATACATAAATATATATTAATATATATATATATATAAAGTATAATAGTAAATAATATAAATAATATATAATAATAAAAGTAAATAAGAAATCAAAAAATCAGATTTTAAGAATATACCTGATCAATTAGTTTTCCGATTGCCGTTTTACTGTGATTAATATTTGTACAAGAAGTTTCATTTCTCTCAATGTGGAATGGCATGTATCCAAAATCTTTATCTGGCGAATATGATTCTGAGTCATATTTTATCATTTTAGTCTGTATTAGCATTGTGAGATCTGGAAAGAGAAGAAATGACAATTTTAGAATTATATATCAAATATGTCAAAATTACCAATTGTTTTTACATATCTTTAATCTTATTCTTCTTTCTTTCAAAGATTTTATTAAGTTTATACTTATAATTTAAGCCTATGTATTATTTGTTTATCATTTTTATTTTATTTAATTTTAATTTAATATAATCTCGTAAAAAGGATAATATACTACCATAATAAAATTACCATAACTAATATTTTTATATTTTATGAAACATATACCATCGAAAGATAAACAAACTTATTACATAACCTAATACAATCTCAAAAGAATTTTTCCATTAGTACACGTAACATTTTTATATTTCTTGAAATGCTTACTGATCTTTCGCATATATCGAAAGATAATTTAATTTGTTACATAACCTAATATAGAATACATTCTTGAATTACAGAAGAAATAAATAATAAAATTGTTAAAAAATATAAATTGAAAAAATTTTTAAAATAATTTTCGAATAATTTCTCGCGATTATTCATAATTAAGCAACACTCTTCATTTCGATTCTTTCTGAATAGGGAAAATGATATTAACGGCGAGATAAAAAGACGACTCATGTTTCTTAAAACTCGAAAGCTTGGAAGGCTAGATTAGACTTTATAAATAATGATATAAGCGCGACAAACTATTGCAGAAGAAACTTTAATTGGATCCTTGCACATTTTAAAGTTGTATTGGAATTGATCATAAAAAAATTTCTATATATATTTCTCAGAAGATTTCTAAAGTAGCTCGTATTCAATTAGTTTTAAACTATAAAATCCACGACACAACTTGGTTCATGAAAGATAAACGAAAATTTAAACTGTGCTAAGTCTATATAGATCTATTCGAACAGCTTGGATCTTTTCAACTGACAACTCAAAATTATACTTCTAATGGCTGCACTCATAATTACATAACAGATAGATTTTTATCCAAAAGAATTGAATTAAATGCTGTAATTTGTAATATTAATTGACATTTCATTAAAAATTATATATACAAGAAATATTAATTTTATTACAATAATTTTTTAGATATCTTTATCAAAAGAGAAAATCATATAAGAAAATAAATATATATATAATACATTAATAATACGATATACTGAAATTCCGTTAATATAACCTCAATTTTCTAATAATTACGTCAGATATAACAAAAGATTAAATAGCAGACACAGTAGAATAATGTAAATATTCAAAAGAAATTTAACCTTAAAATATTTTTGATAAAAAAATGACACATAATAATCATATACTATTAAACTCTAAAAAACATTCTACACAGAAATTTTTATAAAAATGTTCAAGAGATAAATACAAAAATTCATTGTTTAGAGAAATTTAGCACAATTGTCATAAAGAATTAATGATTCATATCGTTATAATAGTCTTTCCACAGTTGAATTGATTAATTTTATGCTTTGTTTAAATTTAAATTGTTAATTACACTATACTAATATTGTTTTTAAATAGTCGGAAAAAGAGAAAGAGAACATAAGATAAAAATGCGCAACAGCGCCAAGCATCGCGTTTAATATGGACGTGTCTTCTTTTATCGAGATTCTCGTGTCTATCAGTTAGTATTTTATCGGTTAGTGTTTTTTCTAATCATCTAAAAATCAAGTCATTTGATTTACGAATCTCGTTGAAATCTATCCTGTGTGATTTATTCAAATTACTGTGTTTCCAAAAAAACTTCAATATTATTTTTTTTGGCTGATCGCAGGAGGTTAGAAACATTGAAAGTGAAGAATAACTATATCTGAGAATCTGAACGAAAAATATCGGTCTTACGTGTTTTGTAAATTTTTTAATCTGATATAAAACTTTTAATTTCGTTATTGACATTATTTTCACAAGTTTCATAAATCTATATCGTTTTAGTGAATATAAATTTTGTGAACTTTATACATTCATCGATTTGAGTAATTTTAAATGAAATTTTAAGTTTCGAAAATTTCAATCAAAAAATATTTTCTGTTTTCCATGCATTTTGTTTGATTTTTATTTAAAAACTTTTTTTCATAACAACAACTGGTAAATATTTCTAGAAAAAACATCAAAATCAAATATAAAATAATAGTTATTAAAAATTTAAAATTAGAAATTTAGATAACATTTAGATACATAAGTAATTATATAGAACGAAATCAATAAATATATTATATTTAAAAATTCAAATATAATATATAATAAACGATAATTGATTAAAATTAGAAATAAGATTGCTTTTCTTTACATGAAATAATACAAGTTATTTTTCTTATGAAATTGAGATTTTTGTACATTGTTTATAGCATATAATTTCTTTTCTTAATTGATAGATAATGAAAAGTGATCATGAAAAAACATTAGAAAGAAAAGAGATAAAATAAATATTTAGTTATAAAAACTTTTTAATAATAGAAACTAGAAAAGAAGATAATTTTTTTAAGATATAATCATAATAATTATTACATGTACATATATATATACATATATATATATATATATATATATATAAAATTATAAATTTTTCAGAAAGTGATAATAATAAATTCTCTATTATACATTATGAATTAAAAACAACAATAAATAAATATAATTATACAAATTAAATAAATATAAAACAAATATAAGTAAAGAAAAAAGTTTTAAATTAAATAGTTCTGGTTTATAGGTTAACATAAGTCGTTTTCATGAGATATAAGTACTCTTGTTCACTAGGATCCATGTGAATTTTAATGTATATAACCAATCGTGATATAACTGTGGATGCGATGAAGGATTTACAACAGTTTAGACAGATGCATGGATAAACAGACAAGATTCGTTCGCGACTCCCGCGAGAAAGATGTTTGAAATCCGAGAAAGATTCAAGTCCTGCTTTTAAAAGTTTCGTTGTTATTATTGGTCTTGGGCCAAGCTAAGTAATGCTTTACATGACGCAAATACATCAACCTCGTCGCCATTTGCTTTTCCTTTCAATTTTTTTTTACTTCAAATTCACCAAACATGACAAATTGAATGCGCTGATGGAATTATTCTAATCTCCTGAATCAACTCGGTGTATTTTTTGTAAGTATCATTTCTTTCTAAAAAAAAATTTTTAATATCTTCATATAGAATTAGAGAATTTCTTTCATAGATAATTGTAGATTCTATTTTTTGATTTTATAAAAATGTATTAATTTTTTTCGAATCATATTTATAAAATGATTATTCAATCTATTTTATAAAATGATTCTTGTAAATAAATTATATGATTAAATCAGTTTGCATATTGACTAGTGGCGCCAGCTAACGAGAATCTATTAAGCATGTCTATTAATATGTCGACTGATTTCTACTGCCACCTGCTTGATTATTTTGAAGAAATTAGTATTATATAGTTCATTTTATCAAATAAAAAATAATAAACATTCGATTTTTTACTAAAGTAATAATCATATATTTCATATATTAAATAAATTGTATGTTTTTAAAACATATTCTGTTTATGGTTTTTCTTATATTTAAATTTTATATAATAATTGAAAATTATTATTTCATTTAACAAATATAATCTATAAAATCTATTTTAAAACCAATGATTTTTATAAATAAATGATTAGTTCCAAATGAAATAAAATTAACTTATAAAATTAGCTTATAAAAAATTTTATAATTAAACATATACACATATAATTTATTAAAATGATTTAGAAAATAGAAATATTTTATATGAATTGATCAAATTTTTTCGTACATTATTTCTATTATTTCTACATTCTTAAGATAAAATATCTTTAGGGTAAAATAATATTTTTAAATATTAAAACACTTTATTTTTAATATCTTGAATAATTTCAAGATATTAACAAAAACTAATTTTCGTTTTCATTTCAAATATTATTCAGTATAAATTTATTATTTATCTTTTTTGTCACATCGCATCCTACATAATCTTTATTTTAAAATTCAGGAAGTAATCAGATGTATATATATAAAATTATATATAATAAAGTTTTCTATTCAATGTATCTTCGATATCTAACTTCTTCCCGTGAAAAATTTCGATTTTTTTTCCCTGGATTATTGAAGTTTGTGCTTTGCTCTTCGGGGATCAAAAACTTTAGGTTATGTCACTGGTATGTTTACTGGTTTGACTCTGATTAATACTCAAAAATGGAAAACACATATCAAATAATCGAAATACGATACTTACGTAAATTTTCTTTACGTAAATAAATAAACCTCGTATGAGGGATTTCAGTTAAGAAGCATTTAAGCGTACTGTATAAGCATTATAGAAAAAGATGGAATTTAGGGTAAAACGTAAGCAAGCATTTTTGTCGTGATATTCGTTATTTATCGTGATATTTCGTTTTAATCCTTAGCAATTTGTAATACAAGATCGATTACGTCAAGTATGAATTTTAGAGTGATTTATTATTAGATTTTAAATATATGAATAGTTATACATATATATACATAATGCAGAATTTTTTAAATAAATTGAGTTATTTTTAATTTTTAATTTTATAGAAGTTAGAATGTGTATTTTTTTCTGAAATTTGATAAAAATAATAAAGTAATTTCAATAACAATTTTGACTATTATATAAATAATATATAAATATATAATTATATATAAATAAATATTGATGAAGTAAGAAAAATATTACTTTTTTTTTATATATTTAAGTATATATATGTTATATTTTGATAATATTTCATTTATTGAATATTTATTAAAATACAACATGAATATATTTAAATATATAATAATTATATTTCATATATATGAATAAAATTATTTCGAGAATTAATAATGATATATTCTTATAAGATATACTTTATAAAGTTAAATATATGACAATATTTTTGCAAGCGCGATAATTCTGCACCATTGTAATTTTTATAACGAAATCGCATAATTATGAGCATTGCATCATTAAAAATATAAAGGATTTCCTATAAGCTATAAGATATATTTCCTATAAGATATATCTA